TTATAAATACCAAACTTCTTCATTTAAAGAAATAATGTGCAGCCATTAAAAGGCCTCTCTACGAAGATTGATGAAGATTTATCTTGGTCATTTCAAAATTCTTGCATGTGAAAATTATGGATTAGTTTTCTTTAGCCATCTCACATGAGAATAATTAATTAATAAGCCAGATGACTAATCAATTAGCAAATTCCACTAATTGCCTTGCTCTTATTCTTATGAGAAAGTTTTTCTCATTCAAAATGATCTAGTTAGTCTTGCTGATTGAAACGGATTCTGTAAAAGAAGTTTTAATATTGATAAGGGAAGGTGAAGAGAATTCATAAATGAATGTTGGAACAAGCTTTTGGCTGTGTGAAAATAACACATTTTCCTGGATTTATTTAACCCTTTCCAGATCGATCATGGGTGAAAGGCCATGCCATCCCATTTACTGAATCTCATTCAAAATTTTATTGAACTACTATTTCATTAACTTGCGTCAATAAGTTCAGTATCAAACTGTAGATTATAATTACAGTTAAACATTGATTTCTGTGCATCACATGGTATGTTGAATGCAGCACTGGTTCAACTTAAATGTTTGTGATGTCAAATTACTAAGTTTATAGTTTTGTATGAATTAGGAACTCAAATTACCAATATTGACAAGCTAGAATATACAATAAGAGCCTCGTATCTTTTCAGTTTGCTAAGACATTATTCATGTAATAAATCAAACACAGTGGCCCCTGCCCACCTCTTTCCATTTTTGAAAATGCTCCCTTATATACACATACTTCTGTCTATGACATGTGAATAACTAATTAAAAGCTCAAAATGTCCCCCCTAATGGCTTTCTCAGCCATTTTCAAGTATTATGACATTACCTTGTTCTTTTGATACAAATCTTCAAGCTGGTAAGGTGAGTCTTTAGTCTGCTCCAAATGTCATATTTTTTTAGAACCAAATACAGCTTAGTTACTAAGCTTGATAAATTATAGTGGAATTCTATGGTATTGATATAATAATTTATGATTTTTTTGGTTATTTCAAATGTTTATATACACCTGGAAAAAAGTTAAGCACCCCCAAATATTTTTCAGGATTGCTTATTGAAAATAAT